CTATCTATCTATCTATCTATCTATCTATCTATCTATCTATCTATCTATCTATCTATCTATCTATCTATTTATTTTATCACATAAGACATAAAATACCAAAATTTGGCTTTAAATTTTAAACCAGCATAATTCTATTAATAAAGCTGGTACTAGAATATATTTGAACTCAACCATTAGGATGATGAGTTACTTTTTAACTGTCTCCTTTCCATATATCCCTCTTCTTCACCTCCTTGTTGTTGTTTTTTTTTATTTTGGTCTTAACTGTTCCTRTGTTTCCTTGTTATCTTTCTCTTATCTGCCCCCCCACCCCCACCCCCAATCCCTCGCACTCGGTCTTTCTCCTCCTGTCCCTCCTTCCCGCTGCTGCTCTATATTTAAAAGGGCCTGCTCAGCCCGAGTTATTCTTGCAGCTTCTGGGGAGGGGGAGCAATAAAACTTTAATGGTAGAAAAAAAGGGGCTGCAGTACACTGGGTACAGAGCAGCAGCAGAAGCAGATTACATGCGGTAGGCAGGGTTTGTTGAGGGAGGAGAGAGGGGAATTTACTCGAGGAGACCACAGTCTCAAGGTAGGAATGGTGAAAAGGAGTAATTACTGTAGAGGCTGATCCATGACACTGGTGAGAAGAGAGGGAGAGCGAAAGAAAGAAAGTAGAGTAAACAAACACTGAAATCATTTGAAGAGAGCTAGTAAAAGCAAAGAGGAATTCCCAGATATGATACAGAAGAAAACACAAACCATGAGGGATTAATAAAAATAAAAACAAAGAGCAGAGAGGACAAGAATTGGGTAGATATAGCAAGGAATGCATTTGATATTAATATGACACAACAGCTTATACGTATGGCAGAAATGCATTTACATATTAAAATGACTTGAAACATTTTCCTTCACATAAAATCTCTCCAGTAAAAAGAGAAACAAACAAAAAAAAATGTCCTAGACTTAATGAGGCGATGGTTTGGAATTTTTTATTTTGGGTTTTGTGTCTCGCCACGTAAATATATTATTACATATTAGCTTTTTGAATGACCTCAATCTATAGAAAAATAACTACAATATATTTGATGTATCAAAGCAACTCTAATCTAAATGTATTTTGTAGAATTTAATGGTTTATTGTTTATTGCTAACACAAATGAAGAAGCAAGTAGCAAAAGTGCTTATATTGCGGTCTTGAGCACTTCCTGTAAATGAAAATATTTTTAAATGTTTTAGATAAATTAATAATATCATATCAATTATAAACATATATTTGAATGATAAACTGGTAACTAGTGAGTTTTCTTGATAGAGTAGTCATCAGATGCTACGATTGTCAGTTGAATTGATTCAAAGCCAAACATTGATTACCTTGTATGACACCTGCATGTGTGTTTCCAGAGCAACGATGCCTCCGGGAGCACGTGGAACTGGATGTACTTCATCCCCTTAATCATCATCGGCTCCTTCTTCATGCTCAACTTGGTGCTTGGTGTGTTGTCAGGGTACGTTTTATTTATTTATTTGGTTTAGTTTATTTTATTTTTTTGTCTTTGGATGACATAAGAGTGATTTAGATCAGTGATTCCCAACCAGGGGTATGTGCATATTACAGGCGGTGCGTGGAAAAATTTCCCAGGTGTGTAAAACAATAAATAAAAAGAAGATTGAGATATGAAGGACCCTATGATTTCCGCAATGCAGAAAGTGCAAATAGAATCACAAAACTGACACAAAATGGAATCCTGTATAAAACCCGAAGTCTCACGGAATTTGCTCATTTGGGGTATTTGATGTATTTTGGACAATACAATGCAATTTGGACGCAGCTGCTTCTTGCACCTGCCTTTACCTGGTTTATTTATTTATTTACTTATTCACTTTCAAGGCAACATATTTATCTTTATGTTTAATTTGAATTGAAAAGAATAAAATGCCTGAGAATTAAACATTATATGGGGTTAAATAAATAATTTTCATTTAATAATCAGCTGTTGTACATTATAGTTTTGGAGAATGATTACGTTTGATAGAGGGGGTACTAGTGGTATGACAAAATGAGTTGGGCCAGTACACAAGTCTAAAAATGTTGCAAACCATTGCTTTAGACTGCATAGCAATAGTTTTAAATTTGRAATTTGATAACATATTGACTATTAGTATTGTGGAAGTGAAAATGTTTTATATTTGTTAAAGTATCTACATTAAGGATATCTATTTACCTTTTCCTATCTGTCCCTTTAGAGAGTTTGCCAAAGAGAGAGAGCGTGTGGAGAACAGAAGAGAGTTCCTGAAGCTCAGAAGACAGCAGCAGATTGAAAGGGAACTTAATGGTTACCTTGAGTGGATCTGCAAGGCTGGTATGAGCAATTTACTGTAGGAGCAGTAACTGTTCCGACATACCGTGACTCGTTCTGTCATAAAAAAAACTGTTTGCTGTATTGCTTTCATTTTTAAAGCATAAATGATTTAGTGTAGACATGAATGAGATTATGGCTGTATGAAAACCCTAATAAAAAAATACAACTTTGATTGGCATTAAAACCACTTTTAAAATTTATACGTAGTTGTTAAAATTTTCTTTGAATATTTGAGTTGTGGTGGGTTCAAAAGTTTTCTCACTCCAAGTTCTGCAGCCTTCAAATAAAACAAAGGCTTCTGGTGCACAAACATGTGCTGCTGCTACTTCTGCTAACCAGCAAACGTTACATTCCTTAATTTTCATTCAGGTCTACCAGATCAGCCTAATGGGGAAGACACATATATTGGCAGTAAAGCTGCTTTAACCAGTGATCACTGTTTCCACCTAATAATTCTTTCAAAATAAACTACAAAGGTAGAAACAGACACTTAAGGTTTTCTTTTTTTTTAATTAGTCTTTTTTTTCTTTTGGGAAGTGAGGGTGGACTGTTAAAACAGCAACACATTTTCATGATGGCCACATTCATTTTTCAATTTTGTCCATTTAAACTACGTTCTGTCACTCATTTGCTGAAGGCCAAGCTGCACCAAAGGTACTAAGAATGGAGGGTTAGTTTGTAGATTTCGGAAGCAAAAAAGAGGAAGATGGAACAGACCTTTGATCGTCTCAAAAAGACAATTTACATAAAAAAGCTAGAGGGTGAGGATTAATAACTCAATTCACACAGGTGCAGTCTTTGTTTCTAGTTTTAATTAAACATTGAAATGACAATGGGTTATTTAAAAATGATTTGGTCATATTTTATGCTATTGTAAATTTAAATTTTGGATAGAAATCAAGAAAAYGATGTCTTTGCAACAGTGGTACATATAAATGCTGTTATTTGATTTTCTTGACAAGTAATAAATGTTCTTCAGTTTTAGGATTTACTTGTTTGTTAGAGTTAATTTTTCAATATGGTGTTTTTTGTATGTCTTTGTTAGTGTTGAAAAAAGAACAAACATTCTGAAAATAAATTACAATAACACATTTACTTTGTGTGCTTTGCAGAAGAAGTCATCTTGGCGGATGATGAAAATGAAAACGATTATGATGGTAAGACGTTCCACTGTGTTAGTACCAATGAGTGTGTTTTTTTCCAATAAAACTATAAATGCAACAAATCAAGACACCAGMCAGCATTATAATGTTATAGATATATATTTATTTTATTTTATTACAATACAGGTTCTCGTAGAAGAGCCACAAAGAACCATAAGAGCAAAGCAGAACTGTTAAACCCAGAGGAAGGGGAGGGGGACCTGGCAGTGGGTATGATCATTCACTCTCTCACGCACACACACACACACACACACACACACACACACACACACACA